TAGCGGGTAGGATGGTAGCACTAATGGCTCTTAAAGGAACAGCACCTAGCAGCGGGAACAGCAGCTAGTTCATACTTGAGTGCCAGTGCATAGCAATACCCTCCCCTTCCTCCACTAACATGTATAACTGCATAAACATAAAGCATAGAATGATACCTGGTTTATCTTTCTAAGAGCAGCTTCTGCCTCTGGTCGGGTGATATAAGAGACATACCACTCTTCATCTAATGGAATCTGCAAATAAATTTTAAAAGCACTGTGAGTTCTATAGTTACATAAGCAAAGTGAAAAGAAACAAAAAGGAAAAAAATACTATTTCCCATAAATCACCACCTCAATTCTCGAGACTTAGAACATTTGTTTTCTTGACTTGAGTCCTTTAGATGGGGCTGCATGGAAAACATTTTGTGCAAAGCGCTTCCTTAGCATGCCACTGACTGCAAAAGCAGCTGTGAAGGAAGGAGCCTCCCTTATGTAATGGAGACTTTGATCTAGAAAGACAGAGATAGACGAACTCTCCAGCTTATTATATAGTAGTAACATAATCAATGAAAAATCTGTTTTAGTGGAGCAACTATGAGACTTATTCATTCAAGGCTATAAGCCAGGAAACATGAAAAACTGGGCTTATTTTTTTATCATTTCTTAATGCCCCTGGAAGACGGTGAGAGAACACTAAAGAGAACATTAGTTTTCATTTACATCTTCCCCTCAGTTTTTGGTTTATTGTGTGTGGTGCTGTGGATCCAGGGCAGGGCTTCACCCAATGCTAGGCAAGGATTTGACCACTGAGCTATACAGCTGCCCTCTTAATTAAATGGCAATAAAGCTCTAACAGAAGGCACAAATAGAGCAGAGCAGCTTAGGAGAGTTTCTTATCGTCCCTTTGCTAGGGAGAAAAGCAAACAAAATTAGAAACAGCTGTATTACCTCTTCTTCTTCAGGAGATGGAGGCTGTGGCCTGTTTGGAACTGGCATGGATAAGTTTCTGCCTTCATTTCTGAGAGGTGGTCTATTGCTGAGACCTTTCAAAGCAAAATATTTTGAAAATTAATTTAGTGTCGGCCACTGTTTTCTCATCTCATAGCACATCCATCACAGATACCCCCATGACAGTAGGGGCATTCATTTTTCAAGATTATGAGGTTGGAGGGAGCCTGCATGGGACTGACCTAGGCCCTCTGCATATATGTTACAGTTAGGTAGGTTGACCCTCTTGTGTGACTCCTAACAGCAGGAGTAGGGATTGTCTCTGACTCTTTTACTGACTTTTAGAACCCTATTTCCTCATACTAGTTTTTCTTGCCCAACCTTAACACATGGGGAGATGCTTACTGCAACTTGATATGCCATGTTTTGTTGATATCCAGTGGGAGACCTGTCCTTTCCTAAACAGAAATAGATGAGGAGTGAGTGGACTGGGGGAGGTGGGAACAGAAGGAGAGGATGGGGGAAGGACTGGGAGGAAAGAAGGAAAGGGAAACTGCCCCCAGGATGTAAGATTAATTAATTAAAAAAGAATATGAGGTTGGAAAAATAATTTCTACTTCTCTCATAATATGAGGGCTGTTTGGGCCATGTTCCATACCATGCTGGAGAAACTTTGAGAAAAGACCCTGACATTTCAGTGAACCCCTAAACATGCACACAACATAACGAGGGCCCATTTATAAAAATAACCACATTGTTTGAGTGTGTGCCTCAATATGAACATGCCAAAAGCAGACCTTTCGTAGATGCCTGCCATCACGGCACACATGGAATGCCTCACCAACAGCTCTCACATTGGCAGCAGAGAAGAGCTAATTATGTGCTCAGTGTCTTCACAGAAAGAAAGGGAAGGGCTTGAGAACAGTGTTACTTTAGAGCCAGTGTTTGCTGTGGTCTTTCTGTTTGTTTTCATTTTACAATTCCCCAAGATGTAGAACTGTTGGACTAGAAGGCACCATAAACTGATCATTTGCTTTAAAATCATCCCAGTGCAGTCCTGTCTCACAGACCTTTGCTAGAACATGGACCAATAGCATCAATGTCCTGTAGGAACTTGCTAGAAATGCCATCTCAGGTGACACCCAGCCCTCCTGAATTAGATCCACTTGAACATGATTGCCAGGCATCTGTATGTACATTGAATGTTGAGAACATTCACAGTGGACACTCAGTGGCAGCATCATTAGAAAAGGAAAGCCTCTGGCCTCTCCTACTAACTCAGAAACTTGTGTTGTTTTTCTGAGGCATGATCTCATGTAGTCCAGGCTGGCTGCAAACTTGCTCTTTAGTTTAAGATGGTCTTAAACATTTTTGTCTTAGACTCTTAATCCACCTCCCATGGGTGGAGATTACAAGTTTGAGCCACCATATCTGGTTTCATACAGAATCTCTGGGGCTGGGTTTTTGTAATCTGTATTTTGAATATGCTTCCCTATTCACAGCCTGAGAACAGATTCATCTTTAAGATAACAAGGAAGCTAGGTGCTGCTCTGAGCTCTTTATCAAACCATCAGGGACATAGCTCTGGGTGGGAAGATGAGGGACTAAGGCTGGCCTGCAGCTATTATTGTTGCTGCTGCTGCTGCTGCTGCTGGTGGTGGTGGTGTGTGGGTGTGTGCACATGTGTTTGTGTGTGTGTGTGTGTGTGTGTGTGATTTCATGTAGTGTCTCATTCCAACAGCCCTTGGTACCTTGTAGACATTGAATTAAGTGTTAAATGAAGAAGCCATATACTTTTAGGAAACAGCCTTTGCTTAAAGGCGTTGAGACACATTACACTGTTACCATAAGGACATGTTAGTAGGCAGAGATCACAATTGTGTACAAACCTTGAGAGAAGTATGGTGGCAGGGAGGCACTCTGCTGGAAACCAATGTTACTGTAGAAACAGAAAAAGAACTTTACTGGTATCTCAAGATGGACGAAGTCTAATAGGCTTCAAAGCCAAAAGCAGGCAACAATAAAAATAAACCTTGTAAACTGAATTTAAAAGTTACTTTTAAAATGGGGCTGTGGTTTGGGGTCTTTGAGTCGATAGAAGGACCAAGGAAGGAAGACACACTCATCAGAGTGTGTGAACAGTAAATCCCCAGGAGTTGCTGGTCTACAGAGAGAGGGTGGGTCCAGGGGGAAGAAAGTGATGGGTGCTGCTGCATGCAGAGAGACATTCACAAGGCTGGGATGGAAGGAAATCTGCAGAGGCCCTGGAATGCTATCTGTTTTCTCTATGCTAAGCACCAACACCAGTCATTAGCCCAAATAGTGATGGTCTGCTCTGCACACCTGGTCTCCTCATTGGTAGTTTTCAAGAACAAAAGATGGGGCTAGAGCTGTGTGTGGGATAATGTGCACATGGACATGGCAGTAAAGAAAGCCAGCTGGGGGAATGAATGGGAAGAATTGAAGGCAATAGGACCCTGGGGCAAAGGGAAGACTTCAAGAATTTCCCCAGAGAGTTGGCAGAGGTGGACTGGTTGTGCTGGTGGTTCCATTTTCCACAGCATGTAGTGAGAAGTTGGGCTTCTTTTGAATACTAAAGAAATGGAGGGTCAGAGGCCCTGGGAAGCATAAGGCAGCCCATTGGCTTGCCTGCGCAGGGATGATCTGGGTCTTGCTTGGTTCTTCTGGCCATGCCTCTGTTTCTGGGTGGTCATATTGTGACCGAAAAATTCTAGTTTTAGAGGAAAACAATGCTTTTGAGGACAGCTCCCAAGCCTGGGTGCTTGGCCTCTGTCAGATGCAAGACACATTCTCTATTTCCCTAGAGGGGGGAAGAGAGAATACAGGAACTTCAGTTAACTGGGTTCTTTCTTTCCTTCCTTCCTTCCTTCCTTCCTTCCTTCCTTCCTTCCTTCTTTCCTTCCTTCCTTCCTTCCTTCCTTTCTTCCTTTTTCTTCCTTTCTTCCTTTTTTCTTTTTCTTTCCTTTTTGAGACAGGGTTTCTCTGTGTAACAGCCTTAGATGTCCTGGCACTAGCTCTGTAGAGCAGGCTGGCCTTGAACTCACAGGGATCTGCCTACCTCTGCCTCCTGAGTGCTGGGATTAAAGGTGTGTGCCACCACCATCCATCTGTCAACTGGGTTTCTTAATGATGTTTGCTTGTTTGTTTGTTTGTTTGTTTGTTTGTTTGAAATAAGCAAGTGAAAACACCCACCATTTTTTGTCAATGTGTCCATGGGACAAATTGTGAACCAAGTCATTCCCCACTCCCCTCAAGCTCAGAAACTCAGAGAACAACTAGACTTGCAGGTTGTTCACCAAACTCATTTCACTTTAAAGGAAAGACAGTTTTTGCCCAATGGCTCATTTCTTTTTCCCTCAAGCCACCTGACATTTGCCACAACACTAAGCTGTACTGATTAGTTGCAAATGTTAACATGACACAGCCAAGGATCTCCTGGGTAGGCAGGCTCAACTGAGGAATTATCTAGATCACATTGGCCTGTGGGTGGATCTGTGGGGGATTGTGTTGATGGTTAGTTGGGGTAGGAGGATCCAGCCCACTGTAGGTATACCATTTCATGGGCTAGGACCTGAACTGCATACATGAAGAAGGCCAGGCAGCTAACAAAGTAAGCAAACAGGTAGCAGGGATCATTCATTTCTCTGTGCTCTGGCTTATGGATATGATGTGACTAGCTACTTGAGTTCCAACCTCGGCTTTCCTGAAATATTGGGCTAGAACCTTAGATTGTGAAAGAAACCCTTTATCTGCTATTTTTTTTGGTCAGGTATTTGTCACAACAACATAAATGAAGCTAGAACACAAGACTCCAGACATTATACTTCCTTAGAACTGAGTGGTCATCCCTGACCTTTCTGAGAAGATTCCTGGCATTTGAGACAACGGGAATGCGTGCTTGGGGCTGGGCTTGGCAGATCTTGAGGGGAAGGTGTTGGAGCTCATAGGAGGTAGTGATGGCTGGGGCAAAGTTCTCTGATGCACTGTGGGGGAAGAAGAAAAAAATGAGTAGTCAGAATCAAATCTGGGGATATTTGGAGTACCCCCAAGCTTAAACCAAACCCAAGCCCCAAACCAGTTGATATGGAGAGACAAAAATCTAAAAGATCAGATATAATTAGCAAATGGTAGGAATATAACCTACCTATTTTTTCCTAGATAGTTCACCACCTTGGGATGCACTTAAAATTGCTGTTGTTCTCTATAGTGAATTTTTAATTTTATTTTTTGCACTGTTTACTTGGAAGAAACTTGCTAGTGGGAAAGTTGTGAATTCAAATTTTTATTTTGTCTTCTGAAAGCTAAAACCACATGCTATTTTGTCCATCCACAGTTACTGATTCTGGACCCATGTATGTAAGAGGGTATAAATAATAGAAAATTTTTTACCAAGACATACATGCAATTTTCTGTGCAGTTAGGTGTTCTGAACACATGAACCTAAGTTTTCTTTGGTAAACCAACCAAGTAATTCCTTTTCACTACAGTCATGAGGTGTAGCAATTGGTATATGCCTGTTTATGTTAGTTTGACATGCAGTGTTCCATACTCAATACAGAATAGGTTGTAAAAAAAACTCTAAACATACCATCATCTTCATCCTGTAAGGGAAAAATAATAAAAGATATTAACTTATTGTCAATGAAGCATCCATCAGCACTAACCCCTTCTTTTGTGAGCTGCGGAAGTTTTCAAAGAGGAAGAGGAGGCAGGCTTGGAAGCAATTTGTGTGAGACTTGGACTCTACAGCATCTTCCTGACCCTTTCCTCCATTCCCACTCCCAATCTCCTTGCTAATTACTCTTGGGAATGAGACCAAGACACTAACCACCCGTGACCTCTCAGAGGGACAGGAGCTGGGCAATCCAGCCTGATGAACTCTAAGTAAAGATGCAGACACTGACATTTAACAGATTCTTTGGAGGTCAGATGGGGGAAGGGCAGATGCAGTCTCACCTCCCCAGTCCCCACACCGGTTGCCCCTGTGCTACAAACTTATTAAATGCTATTTCACACTTACATTCTCCCTTCTGTCTGGTCCCCGTCCATGCCTGAAATGAGTTAGAGCACAGAAGTGAGCATCAAG